TTGCAAAGTGTACCTTTAAGGTTCTGCAGGAGTGCTTTCTTCAATTTGGAAAAGAACTCTTATTATGTTACTCTGTCCCAGGATATATCAATTGTTAACCTTAGGGACTAGTGGAAATGCTCAACATTTTTTAGGATTGCATACGTATATAAAAACCCACTGTATGTTGAAAAGGTATATTAAAAATAAGGCTCAAGCAGATCTAGAAGGCATAAATAAACACACTGAGAGAAGCATAGATTCTTTTTTCACCTCTCTATTTACACTGATGACTTCCAGGTTCAGCCTTATGATATAACGTTGGGTTTCTTTTGAGTAAATGATGAAGAAGAAAGAGACTTGAGCCTAGTTCACAGACAAGGCATTATAGCACATTGGTAATATCCAGAAATAGTCTGCTAACCCCTTACACCTTCCAGACCTAACCCTAATATTAACTCTTTAAATACAGAACACATACGAGTGGAAATACCTCCCAATCCTCATTACAAAGTGCCACAAGCAATTATCACTGTCATCCAGACAATGAGTTCAAACCAATAATGAAAAAAAAAGAAGAGAGGCTTCTCATAGCTCAAGAAATCCTTTATCATGTAATTTAAATGCAAAATCAATGATTATCTACTAAGATCTTATGAGATGTCAAGCAATCAATCCAAATTATTATAAAGGATAATTTGAAATAAAGTTTTATGTCTTCTATTCAAAATGCTGAAACTTGCCTAAAGCTATGAAATAATGATAATATAAAGATGTCACCATGGACAAGATATTTTTATAAGTAAACAAGCAAAATATAGAGATAAAATCTATAATTTCAAACATATATAAAGCCATCTGATTGCATTGTTTTTTTACCTTATAAAACTACTTAAATATTTTTGCTGCTTTTGAGTGTTTTTAGAAAGTTAAAATAGAATGAACACTTGTAGTTTTATGGAATTTGATGATGTTTTTTCAGTATGGAAACAAGTGAGCTACTTTGTTCCTGGTTCTTGTAAAGGGAAGATGTACTTGGGAAAGTGTATGGTCAGGTGAAAACACTTTTTGATGAAAACTAGATACTGTAAAAAAACCAAAATGTTAAATCATTGATAGTATAACTGCTTCAGCTGGAATTTGGAAAAAGCAAGAATATAGAACAAATAAACAAGGAGCTCCTACCCTTTGTGACAGCATGGATGGAACTGGAGAGCATTATGCTAAGTGAAATGAGCCAGGCAGTGAGGGACAAACACCATACGATCTCACCTTTAATTGGAACCTAATCAACAAAACAAACAAGCAAGCAAACTATAGCCAGAGACATTGAAATTAAGAATAATCTGACAGTAATGGGGGGGCGAGGTGGGAGGTGATAATAGGGGGAAAGGTTTTTCAGGGACAGCTATAAAGGACACATGGATGAAACCAAGGACAGGTGGAAGCTAGGGAGGGAGGTGGGGATGGCTGGGGTATGGGGGGAGTGGTGGGGAGTTAAATGCAGACAACTGTAATTGAACAACAATAAAATAATTTTGAAAACACAAATAAATAATAAAGGATTTTATCTTAAAGTTTCAGAGCTAGAAGCACCAGTCAAATGTATTTACCACATCACTCATAGGCAAGATATTGCAGAATTTCACATACACACACGCATATTTTGTATAACTATTGGAGGGTAAAACAAGTATCATTTGTCAAATTTGTTTCTGTTGAATTTATGTTTGTGAGCTATCTTTATGTTATTGTAGATGTTAATATCAAATATTAGAATATATTCCATATAGATCCAACATTTTAAAATAAAGCATTTAATATTATTTTTATAACTAGTAAATATTAATATTATTTTTGTGAAGACAAGTTTTCCCACTAATAGAGAAACTGAGGTAATTTGTATTTGATTTCATACTTTAAAATTTGTTTTGTATGTTTTATTTTATAAATATTAAATCATTGAAATATATACATATATAACATTTACATATAAATATACACATATGAGAGTGCAGAAGGAAAGTGTGATTACAGAAATTGGAGGGTTCTTACTTTTTTCAGTTTAGGTTAACTTTTATTTATACTGCTTAATAGGGCTAAAAATGACCTCCTCTCTAATACAGGGAATCTGCATAGTACCAAAAAATAAAGAAAGAGAAATACATGTATTAGATTATTTTTGTAATACACTTTAAATATGCATAGCCATCATTTCTTTCCAACTTCATAATATTTGGCATTATGAATATTAGTCTTAAAATAATGAGGTAGCACATTAAGTATTCACAAACTCAATAGTTCAGCTATATGTATTGTCAGGTCCAGGTGTTTAGTCATTATTTTTATTCAGTTTTCTTTAGAAAGACATCCTGGCAACTTACAAATTTCACACATCCCTGCTTATGAATGAGACTGTGAAGTGTAGAAACAGGAGAGAGAAAGCATATACTATTATAAGTAGACAAAGACCATCAATGCTCTAGAAATTCAAAGCCAGTGGGGAGATCATTAACTAATGAAGTCAGTTCTGAGGAACATGCCACCTTAGCTAAACTTATTTCTTATATCTGTCATGTTTACCTATTGCTAGCTGAGTTTTCCTAACCAGATTCCAAATCTTTGGGGTCATTAATCTTAGTGTCCCTTAGCTACTTGGGATCCCCTCTGGGGTATTCTGCCTATACCCCATTGCCAAGTCACAAATCAGAATTATCTTAGCCAGGCCTGTGATCTACTGTGGGATTGTGCTATCTCTTAGTGAGCTCAGGTTTCACTGGGCATGTTCTGTGCTGCACATGCATCTCTATTCTTAGGCAGGTACCACCTGGACAACATCAAGACACAGCAAACATACAGAGTCTCCAGTAGTCTCTGCTGCTGTTTACTCTTTCCTTTGATTAAATTCACCTGGGTAGTGTTTCAGGTGAGTGGAGTCCATGACTTTGAATTTGAGGATATACAACTATTACCTGAGAACTCTGACACCAATGTCTAGGGTGGGAGGCTTGGCTCTGTTCATGCTTACAATTGCTACTTTCCATGAGCTGCACAGACCTCATATGTAGTGTCCCACACTTAGTCAATGCAGCATCCCTAGACCAGAGGCTTGGGAATGGGTTCTAAGTACATCCCAATTGATTTCAGTTTATTTAAATATGCTTTTCATATCCTCATTGCAGATCACTATCCCATTCAAAAAGGAAAACAAGTCTGATCACATATTAGTGAATTTGAGCTCCTCAGAAGAAATGGCCCATAGAAATTGAAGGTATTGTTATGATCATTACAAGCACAATATAAATGCATAGATTTAAGAAGTAAAGTCCTGAAAATTCTCTGCATTTAGCTTAGACTGGGCAACAGATAATCAATAATTACATGCAAATGAGTCTTTTATTCAGTATAACCAACCCGTATAACATTTTCCATGCAAATCAGCAAGTATGTAGAATTAAAAACCCTTGGGCAGTTAGTGACCAGGACAGTTCTCGTATGCATGTTGTCTCCAGAAAGTACATTTGGTCTGGTTACACCACTGTTGTTTGTACAAATTGCCAAGAAAGGTCAACTCAATGACACTCCACTTAATTTCACTTAATTTAAATCTCAGTGTACTTGCATGGACAAGTTTCTTTTAAACACTGATTTATTCTCTAAATGGAGAGGCTTGGTTGTGATTTAAGATTTAATGTTCCCCTCTGGCCACATTTGGGAGACTTTCCAACACCAGGAGCCATTGTATTTAAGATATAACATGCCTCCTTGGTCATATTTGGGAGCTGTTTCTGGCTGTTTTGGGACTCTTGGCTGCCTGGCAAATAATGTGCCAGTGCCAGAAAAAAAATGCATAAATTCCTTGATGTTTATGAGGATTCTCTCAGAGTTAAGCTAAGCTCTTGTTTTCTCCTTAGATTAATTAAAATGTTGATTGAAGGGGGTAACATTGTTTTTAAATTTATTGTTGTTCAGTTACAGTTGTCCTGCCTTTTCCCCACTGCTCACCCCAATGCCATCCTCACCCCACTCCCACAGTCAATCCTCCCTTGTCCATGCCCATGAGTCCTCTACTCGTGTTCCTTTGCTTGCCCTTTCCCATTCTTTCCCCTCATTATCCCCTCCCACTCCCCTCTGGTCCCTATCAGTTCTTTATTTTCAAGTGTCTGGCTCTGTTTTGCTCATTCGTTTGTTTTGTTGATTAGATTCCACTTATAGGTGAGATCATATGGTATCTGTGTTTCACCACCTGGCTTACTTCACTTAGCATAATGTTCTCCAGCTCCACCCAGGCTTTCGAAAAGAGTAGGAGCTCCTTCTTTCTTTCTGCTGTGCAGTATTCCATTGTGTAAATGTACCACAGTTTTTTGATCCACTTGTTTACTAATGGGCACTTAGACTGTTACTAGCACTTGGCTATTACAAATAACACTGCTATCAACATTGGGGTGCATAGGTTCTTTTGAATTGGTGTTTCGTGATTCTTTGGGTATATACCAAAATGTGTATTTTTCCATTTTGGTGCAACAAGTCTACTACGGCTATTTATTTTGGGCATATTTGAAAATTTAATACAATTCTGAATAACAAAAATCAAGCTAATTTCTGGCACAAAATAACAGGGTAAAGTGATACTTGAAACCTGGATTTGACGTATGAAGTAAAATTGATAGGCACAGTCTCCTGAGCATAGTGTAACCTTCCAGTCTCTGGAAGTGAATGATGTTCATATGGACAAGTGCATAGCACTGATGTCTTTGTACTTTATATATTTTAATAAAGTCACCATTTTGCTGCTAAGAATCCAGGAAAATTATCATTTTTATCTATCTTCCGAGAGCTGTGAAATTATACCTTGAGTTTTAGTATAATTAGTATAAAGGCATAGAAGATGTTTATTAGATTTTTTTAACTGAGTGATAATTTGTACATAATAAAAAGCACATATCTTAGTTATTCAATTTGATGAGGTTTGATGATATTATAAATCCATGTAACTACAAATCAATAAAAGATACACTTCAAAGACTGTACTTTCAGGGATCACTTCTATAATTTGTTACTAGAGAAGTTTCTCTGAACATGTAGAGCACCTGAAACTATGAGGAGATGAAGTGTTCCCTCCTGAGTGTGAAGTTGGCTCTTGGTGATGCTTCATAACTTCCATATGCCATTGATGATTGTTCTTCTCTTCCTTTTGAGAGAGTAAGAGGGAGAGAACACCATCTGAGTGGTAGAAAAAAAAGATACATTTCATTTCCATCATCTGGAAGTGTCCTTTGAAACATATTGTAGTAGATTCTTACCCACCTTTAACACAAGGGATAACCACTTTATGAATTTTGCCATAAGGATTAATCTTGTTGTCACTCTTATTCTTAGAATTCAAAAGTGGAATTGTATAGAATGCATTATATTCTGTCTTATTTTTTTACTCAACATAGTAATTTTGAAATTAATACATGTTGTTGCCCTATATCACTAGTTTATTCTCATATGAATATACAAAAGTATATTTATCCAATATCCTATTATATTTTTTCTTTTTGTGCTTTGTGAATAGCCATTTTTAAGCATTCTTGTAAGCTTATGTTTCATTGCTCATGGAGAAATATTTAAAGTAAAATTGCTGAGTCATTAGCCAGATATGTTTAACTTTTTAGAGGAAGTGGGGAAGTATAATAGGGGATAACAGGGGAAGGGCCATCAAGGAACATGTATAATGGACCTATAGACAAAGCCAAATGGGGTAGGTTTAAGGGTGGGAGGTGGGGATGGGTGGGGTTGGGGGGAATGATGGGGTGAAAACTGAAACAACTATACTTGGACAATAACAACAAAAAATGAATTCAGTAATGTAATAATTTTTTTAAATCACCAAAAAGTTCTTTAAGATAGTTTATTATCTTATGTTTCCACCAGCATTATATAGTCACATGACTTTAAATCCTTGTTTTGTTGTATTAATTATTTTAGGGTTTATGAAATGGTATTGCACTCTACTTTCAGTTTTTATTTCACTGATTACCATTATTACTGAATGCATTTTTATGTGTTTCTTGGTCATTTCTGTATATACCTTCATGAATATGTAAGGCTTTTTATCCTTTTGGAAAATACACTTAATGAGAAAAATAATTTCAATATTAAAAAAAAACTTGTAATCAAATGTACATGAACAGCCCTGGCAGGTGTGGCTTATTGCATTGAGCATCAGCCTGAGAACCATGGGTCAACGGTTCCATTTCCAGTCTAGGGCACATGGCTGGGTTGCAGGCCAGGTCCCCAGTAGGGGGTGAGTGAGACCCTTCCCTTCTCTAAAAAATAGATAAATAAATAATTAATTTTTTTTTAAAATGTGCATGCACCTACTTTAAGAGAACGGACAAATTGACAATTCCATATTATCTAGTGATATTTAAAATTGCATAAATAAGCACAATTCAAAAGGTAGAATTTTACTATAAACTATTTAGGGTCTTAAAATAGAAAAATACTGAAATTTGATTAAAAATCTAGTACTAATGATGAGCCAGAAATGTTTTTGACCAGTTACCTTTATTACTAGTTTTTATAATTATCATTATTATCATTTTTGCTTCATGTATCAAAAGTTCCATTTGAATTGTTCTAGGCTGTAAGGACATACTGATATCATGAAAATGATTTAATTTATCTAAATAATGTATTTTCAGAGTAAGAAGCAAAACAGTTTAAAAATGCAGAAAAATCAGGCCATATAAACTGTATTGTTGAATGCAAATTAATCAAACGATGGCTTTGGGGAAAATTAACCATTTATAGTAAAAACTGCTTTCCTAAATGTAAGAGTTTAACCCTGGGGGAATCAAACCTAGATAAACGATGGCTCTAAAACTCTCAACTGAAATTTCTCACTTAGCTTCCTAAAAGAATAATCTTTACTCTGTGATGAGAAGTCAACAGAGTATGAATTCAACAACAATTACAATTGGAATCCTAGGGTCAACCTGTGTGAAACAAAGCCTACTTTGCTTAGTGCATGTTCTGCTTCAATGGCCATCAGGTGCATATGATGAAATGTGGAATGTCATCTGCTACTTGTCCTTCAAGCACATACTTATTTTAGGTGTCTGGACAGAGTTCTTTCATTGGTGCCTCGTTTCTACCCATAAGGTGTATTATAAGTTCAGCTGCTACTGGGTATTTGTTCTTTGATCTTTCAGAATACTATTATGACATAGTGTTGTGAAACCTTCCCATTGTATAGGTGCTTTAGGGGCATAGTACAGGTGCATAGTGCAGGTGTTGGGACATTAGGTTGCAGATTACAGAAGCCTCGACCTTCTCATTTCCAAGAAAACTAGAAAGGGGTCTCCACCCTCCTGCTTTCTGTAAGTAAATACAATCATAAGGTCACTTTTATTTATGATTCTAACTCACCTCTAATCAGTGGACTTCTAGTTTCATAAAATCAAATTTTTAAACATTTTTCATTTCGTAAGAATTTCTTGGAGTTCAGGCCAAGCTGGAGGCATAGGTACAAACATTTTACTTCCTCACACAACCAAAAGGATAACAACCAATTTAAAAACAACAAACAGCCAAAAGTGCCAGAAAATCAAACTGCATGGAACTCAAACAATCAAAGATTTAAAGGAACATTCATCCAGAGCAGCAGGAGGGGCAGAGAGGGGAAACCAAGCTCAGAGGACATGCTGCAATGTGGCAACTGTGCAGGTGAGGCAGAGGTGGCTTAATGGAAAACTAAAGACTCAAAACCTCTAGCGGTAAATACTGAGAAGGTTGCCAAAGTGGGAGAAACTCCCAGTCTCATAAGAGAGTTGATTGTAAAGTGGGGCTACAGCAAAGAGAACAAGCAGCATTGTTTCCTCTTTGATCCCTTCCCAACAGACAGTGCCAAAATGCAGCAGAGAGGGTTGCTCCACACAGACCAATACTTAAGGCTCCACCCCTTACCACATAAGAGGTGCTCTGAGACAAAGATATATGGCCTAAACTAAAAAAAAAAAAGTCAAATACCCCAAAGAAAGAACTAAGTGATGAGCAGGTAGAAAATCTATCTGATGCAGAGTTCAGAACACTGGTAATTAGTATGCTCACAGAATTGATTGAGCTCATTCACAAAATGAAGGAAGAAATGAAGGCTATGCAAAGTAAAATAAAGCAAAATATGCAGGGAATCAACAATGAAGGGAAAGAAACCTGGACTCAAGTCAATGATTTGGAACAAAAGGAACAAATAAACATTCAACTAGAACAGAATGAAGAAAAAATAATTCAAAAAGTGAGGAGAGGCTTAGGAACCTCTGGGCAAACTTTAAGCACTCCAACAACAAAATCACAGGGGTTCCAAGAAGAGAATAACAAAAGCAAGAAATGGAAAACTTACGTGAACAAATAATGAAGGAAAACTTCCCCAATCTGGTGAAGGAAATAAACTTCCAGGAAGTCCAAGAAGCCCAGAGAGTTCCAAATAAATTGGACCCAAGGAGAAACACACCAAGAACATTATAATTAAATTAGCCAAGATTAAAGATAAGGAGAGAATCTTAAAAGCAGCAAGAAAAAAGGAGAGTTACCTACAAAGGAGTTCCTGTAAGACTATCAGCTAATTTCTCAAAAGAAACCTTGCTGGCAAGAAGCGTCCTTAACAAAATATTAAAAGTCATGAAAGGCAAGGACTTACATCCAAGTTTACTCTATCCAGCAAAATTATCATTTAGAATGGAAGGACAGATATAATGCTTCCAGTAAGGTAAAGTTAAAGGAGTTCATCATCACCAAGCCCTTATAATATTAAATGTTAAAGGGTCTCACCTAAGAAATAGAAGATCAAAAACTATGAACAGTAAAATGACAACAAACTCATAACTCTCTACAACTGAACCTAAAAATCAAAAACAAAATGTAAGCAAACAACTAGAACAGGAACACAACCAGAGAAATGAAGATCACATGGAGGGTTGTCAGTGTGGAGGGGGAGGGGATAATGGGAGAGAAGATAGAGGGGATAAGAAGCATAATTGGTAGGCCTAAAGTAGATAGGAGGAGGTTAAGAATAGTACAAGAAACAGAGAAATCAAAGAACTTATATGTATGACCCACGAGCATGAGCTGAGGTGGGAGATGCTGGACAACAGGGGGTTGCAAGGCAGAGAGGGGATAATGGGGAGAGAAGAAGTGGGGCAACTGTAATAACATAGTAAATAAAATATACTTAAAAATAATTTATTATCTGTAATTCATGTATAATTTGTAACTCTGATCTATGTTTGGGGCCCATTCGTACCACAGAAGTCACAATGAACCTTTTTTTAAAAATATTTTATTTATTTATTTTTAGAGATGGGAAGGGAAGGAGAAAGAGAGAGAGAAACATCAATGTGTGGTTGCCTCTCATGTGGCCCCCACTGGGGACCTGGCCTGCAACCCAGGCATGTGCCCTGACTGGGAATCCAACCTACGATGCTTTGGTTTGCAGCCCGCACTCAATCCACTGAGCTATGCCAGCCAGGGCTCACAATAAACCATTTTTATAAAGACAAGAGAAGATATTTACTCTGCTATTAGATTTTTTGAAACCAAGTGGTAATTTTTACACAATTAAATGCACATATCTTAGGTGTTCTACTTGATGAGATTTAATTATGCTAGAAATACATGTAACTACCACTCAATAAAATATACATATCATTTCCATCAACTGGAAGTGTCCCTTGCTAAACATAAGCCCAACATGTGGAACTATCTCCAGGGAGTTGGTTGTCAATCCATTTCAGATTTAAGCACCACTTGGTATTCTTTTGGATAAAGAAGCTCCATTCCTCCTGATGAACATCTAACTCCACCTCAGAAGGGAAGACAGAGAATCTGAGTTTGCATCTTTCTCTTCACATGGTGACAAAAAGAGAGAAGAAGGTCTTGGGATCTAGCAGCCAAATCACCACTGGGAACATTCTGGAGTGAGAGAACTGATCTAAGTACCCGTTCCTAATTTTCTCCTGGTAAACTAAAAGACCCACAGAAGAATGTGAGAATATGTAAAACTGTGAGTGATGACTTCATAAAGTTCCAGAACACCTTCTATTAATAAACAGTTCAAAAACATGGAAGATTTTCATGCAATCTGTTTCTCACAAGTTCTGGGCAATTATTCAGGTTAGTTCACAGTGGTGGCTACACTCTGGAAAGAGTACTAAGCATGATGGAGCTTCACTTGGAAAAGTCCTATG